AGGAGAAAAAATCTAATACGAATAAAATAATGATAATAATACTATAAATAACCGACTTTTTTTAACCCATTTGACCCTTGCAACTTTTCGTTTCACCTATGCACATATACGTGCGCATTACCTCCACACATATGTACATATGTATAAATCTAGGCTTTGCTGTAGAATACAATCGACATAGCAGCAGCATGTCTTTCTATAGAGAGACCAGATCGGGCGCCGAAGATTCGTCTAAAGGGATTGTACATATACGGCATTTAGTTCATTTGTTTGCCTTAAAGTCTTGATTTAATTGGCTGTTTCTTCTTTCTCAAGTCAACACATGTGTATGTGTGTGTGTGTGTGTGTACGTTTCTTATGCTTACCTATATGCACGCTATTGTAATTCTACACGCAAACATAACGCATTTATCACTACAACAAAGTATTCTAATTTATATTTAACTTGTCCCTCCCTCCTCTTCTTATCTTTGGCAATAAATAAAAAAGTTAAAATTCTTCCCAAATATTTGAAAACATAAGTCAAGTGTTACTACTTTTATGTAATGTTTATATTATTGCGTGATTCTATCACGTAGTTAAGAAACTATTAATCCTTATTTTACTATCCTGCATCAAATCCATTGTCGATTTCATTCTCTTTTAAAACCATCTATCCACCATCATCATATCAGTGTCGAATGTCAAAAAGAAAAAAAAAAATGAAAAAAAGATTAGGATTAAAAATTTCCCATCCTTTTCGTCTAGGATCCACCAAAAGTAAGCTGCAAAGCTATGAAATTTGAATAATTTCGAGGAAAAGGAAATTCATGACATTGCGACTAAAGAGAGAATATCATATTCTGCTAGGTTTTTAAAGAGTGAGAACAAATTTCAAAGGAAAAGAATCCTCGTAGAACTGAAACCGCAGTTATCAGTTCCAAAAATAATCTTCAACCAATTCCTAGAATTATTAGACACCAACTTTGACCTTCAACGAGTAGACCTGAAGCAAATGGCTCCTCGAACAAAATGCAGCAAAAGGAGTGAATGCATCTTTAAAAAAAAAAAATCCTATTTCTGTCCGCCTTAGGGGGGAACCATCGCTACTAGCTCCATTTTAATGTTGCCCTGGCTAGGCTCTCAAATGAAAACAATCTGCAGGTTTCCCAAACGCAGACAAAGAGTTCTGCAACCACATATGAATGGATCAGAGATGATTTTACCTCAATACATCAATAATACATACACTTTCTTCTCGTGCCTCTTGCGAACATGTACGAGTGTCGTAAAAGGAAAAACAAAGTTATGGCTATCATAACTTTTGACCAACTAACGTTAACTAGTAAATAAGGGTGCATACCGTATTTTTCAGACTATAAGACGCACTTCGAATTTATTAAATGATTTTTAGAAAAATATATTTTTAAATATCACTTTCGAATCAAAATTTTTTATTTGATGTTAACATAACTCGTACTAGCAATATTTAGTTCATCGCCCTGTCTCGGAACTATGACTCGTCTCGTCAACGCAACCGGTCGTAATGCTTTCCCCTCGACCGTTGTTGTCGTACCTCACCTCACGCGGCTCAATTTTAGAGACAAATTATTGAGAAAACATTTTTATGTTACCCTCGGACCGGACCGTAAACACGCATCCAAAATTTAAATCGATTTTTCTGTGTAAAAAGGTGCGCCCTAGCGTATACTTTTTAGGCCATTAATTAATTACAATAAAACAAATATGAATCAATAATAGCAATAATTTTGGGAGGGACATGGCCGGCAAATAATTAATACCACGTTTCTTCATTTTTTTTTTTTTTTTTTTTGTAAACCACGTTATGTGATAGTGTAACATAATTGATGAATGCTTTGAATGAGTAAAAGACATTTAAGTTTAAGTTGCGCTTCATCGAGTCCACTATGAAAGTTCAAATCTAAACAATCTTCCAAGCCTCTTGGATTAACGGTAAGATAATGTTGCACAATGTTTCCTTTGCCGTCGGAGAATAAAACACGAAGCTCGTAGCTTTTTCGAAATATACGTATAGCGTTAGAAAGATGTAACAAACTCAATTCTCGCTCATTATAATAAACAAGAAATATAAATAAATAAA